CATGTTTCCCAACATTCCTTTCTATCCCATTCAGGTATCTATTTTACAATAGTAGGCAAGGGAAACTAATATTCATAAGGCAGTTAAGGATTTTAGTATTATTTACCCTCTTCAAGCTATACCTAGGTCCCTGTATCCCAGAGCCCTGTTGTTCCAAGTTTGAGTATGCATCACTATTTACCTCTGTCTCACTAGGCCATGCAAACTTGTCTTAGTGTTCACCTTTCTATTTTTTTCTTCTGCCTCCTCCCTGCTTCTTGGATTGCCCTCCCCAACACCCAAAGTAAACCCCTCCCAGCCCATCCCCATTGTGGTTACCTTATATTCCATTAGTTCTTCCCTCCATTTGTGTTGTTGTTGTTATGTGCTGTGGAGTCATTTCTGACTCATAGCGACCCTGTACAGGGTTTCCGAGGCTGCAAATCTTTACGGGAGCAGAAAGCCTCATCTTTCTCCCACGGGACAGCTGGTAGTTTCGAACTGCTGACCTTTAGGCTCGCAGCCCGATTCATAACCACTACTCTACCAGAGCTCCTTTCCCTCCATTTAAGACAGTCTATTTTATCTAGTAATCTACCTAACCTTCCCACCACCCGGATCTCTGTTCCTCTGTGTTAACCTTCTTTCACAATGTAATTGTTTTGATCATAGACTGACTTCGATCCTCTGTTCTTATAATTTTATTCTGTTCTTGACTCTCATTTGTCGACTGAGTTCAGGTTGATGCTGCCATGTACTTCATTCTGTAGTTGTTGTGTGTTCTTGTTGGTTCTCAGTCCACAGACCTTCCTTTAGGACATTTTTCATAGCAGGGTTGGTTTTGGCAAAATCCCTTAGCTTCTGTTTATCCTGGAATGTTTTGATTATATCATCATATTTGATTGACAGCTTTGCTGGGTAGAGGATTCTTGGGTGGCAGTTTTTTTTTCTTTCAGGGTTTTATATATGTCTCCCTATTGCCTTCTTGCCTGCATGGTTTCTGTTGAGAAATCCGAGCTTAATCTGATTTGCTTACCTTTATATGTTATATTTCTCTGTTCCCTAGCTGCTTTCAAGAAATTTTTTATAGGTCTAATAAGAGGAAATTAGTGCTTTGTATGTTTACCATATATTAGAACATCTTAAGTAATAGTAAAACTTTCAACTACAGTGGGTAATAACAAATATTAAACAATAGCATGTCAGATAAGTAATAGATTAATAATAAATTGAAAATTTTAAATAGCTTATCATTTTAAAATTAATGTGATTTCAAAATATTCCATTTCTCCCTTTGCTCACCCTTATTGCAAAATCTGTTACTAACCAAAAAAACAAAAACCAATAAAATATGGTGTTTTCAGACAACTTTTGGAAAACATGCAGTCTCTTTGCCTCCTGAATATCCAATGTATTTTAATGCTTTATCATTAAACATAAATGAAATAAAATGTGGCATTTTATATTACTTATTCATAAATATAAAATGATAATTTTTTTTTCCTATGACTAATTAAAAGGAGTTACGAATTGGGCTGTGAACCTCAAGGTCAGCAGTTTGAAACTACCAGCTGTTCTGCAGGAGACAGATGTGGCTTTCTGCTACCGTAAAGATTTACAGTCTCACAAACCGTGTATAGGGTCACTATTCGTCGGAACCGACTCCACGGCACATAACAACAACATGACTAATTATATGTTGTTGATCTTTATAAGTGCCATTGAGTCAGTTCCAACTCACAGCGACCCTCTGTAGGGTTTCTGAGGAACAGCTGGTGGGTTTGAACTACCATATGGTTAGCAGCCCTTTGCATACCCTATACCCCCACAACAGGACTCCTGATTAATTATACAGACATTTAGTATTTACTTTATTTGCAACATTATTATAGAAATTATTCAGTTTATTTATTCATTTCAAATAATTTTGATTTAATATGGCAACGTTGCTCATTCAGAAATGTCTGACTTTATATACATGACAAAAATTACAGATAATTTTAGGAAATACCAAATAGTTCTGTACAAAAATTCTATAAAGTGTAAATTAATTGTTTAGGACCAATATTTTAAGGTATGGCATTTAATCAATTTTTAGCAAAACACAACATAAACAATTATTTAAATATTCTTATTGGAATATTAATAGAAAAATTCCAAATGCACCAAAAATAAAAGTGATTTGTTTTTGCTAAAGTAATTGTGAGAACCTATTGCTTATTTTTGCATGTTATATTCCTGAAAAGTGAATTACTTAAAAAATAAAATTTTTATTTTATTTATTTAACTTTTATTTAATAACATATACAATTTATATTTTACTATGCATATTCAAGAAAGAAAGTCATACATTGGGAAAGACCTTGGCCTAAGGAACTTCCACTCTTAGAAGCAAAGCATTTGATTGTTTTCTTATTGCTGCTAGATACTGTTGAGTCAGTGCCAGCATGGAATGCCTTTGCACCACAGATGGAAACACTGCTTGATCCTATGCCATCTTTACTATTGTTGATATGCTTGAATCTGTTGCTGCTGCCACTGTGGCAATCCATCTCTTTGGGCACCTTCCTCTTTTTTTGCTGACCCTCTGTTGATGTACTATTGTGGCCATTTTTGAACTATCTTAAGAAACATTTTACCTGCATATGATATTAACAATATTGTTCAATGATTTCCACATTACATTGTATCACCTTTTTTGGGAGTAGGCACAAATACAGATCTCTTCCAATCAGTTGGCCAGGTCTTCCAGATTTCTGCATCAGTTTGTTGAGAGATTCCTGGAATTTCATTTTTTGCCAATGCAGCTCTACTTCCTTCAGTACCACTGCTTCTTGACTATATACTGGCTCTAGAAATGGTACATTTCAAGCACATCAACAATTTATTTTTCTTAATGATCTGTATACTTTCCATCTTCTTTTTATGCTTTCTTCATCATTCAATATTTTGCCCAAAGAATCCTTCAATATTGCAAATCAAGGCTTAATGGGTTTTTCTTCATTTCTTTCACCTTGAGAAATGTTGAACATGTTCTTCCTTTTGTGGTTTTTTAACTCCAGGTCTTTGTACATTTCATTATAATAGTTGACTTTGTCTTCTCAAACTGCCCTTTGAAATTTTCTGTAAAGCATTTTGACTACCTAATTTCTTCCATTTGCTTTAGCTTCTCAATGCTCTAGAACAAGTTTCAGAGTCTCTTCTGACATCCATTTTCATCTTTTCTTCATTCCTGTCTTTTTAATGATTTTTTGCTTTCTTAATGTGTGAAGCTTTTAATGTCATCCCCTAACTCTTCTGGTCTTTGGTCACTAGTTTCTAAAGTATCAAATATCTTTTTGAGATGGTCTCTAACTTCAAGGGGAATATGTTCAAGGTCATATTTTGACTCTTGTAGACTTGTTTTAATTTCTATAGCTTCTGTCTGAACTTACATATGAGCAATTGGCAATCTGTCCCATAGTCTGTCCCTAGCCTCATTTTGGCTGATGATATGGAGCTTTTCTACCATCTCTTTCCACAGATGCAGTCAATTTAATTTCTGTGTATTCCATCTGGTGTGGTCCTGGTATAGTCATCTATTATATTGCATAAAAAAGGTATTTGCAATCAAGAAGCCATTAGTCTTCACAAAATTCTATCATGCCGTCTCCAGGATCATTTCTATCACCAAGGCCATATTATTCAACGACTGAACCTTCCTCTTTGTTTCCAACCTTTGCATTCTAACTGCCAATAATTTTCAATATATCCTGACTGCACTTTTGATCAATTTCAGACTGAAGAATTATTCAGTTTGATCGTCGCTTACTTTAGTGGTTGGTGTGTAAATTTGAATAGTGATATTAAGTGATCTTTCATGTAGATGTATGGATATTATCCTATCTCAGACAGCATTGTACTTCAAGATAGATCCTGAAATGTTCTTTTTGATCATGAATGAGACACCATTCTTCATAAATTTGTTGTTACTGGCATAGTAAACCATATGATTTTCCAATTCAGAAAAGACCATTAGAAGTCCATTTCCGTTCCTAGATTCATACTTTCTACAACCCATGTTTCTATTATTAATGAGTGTCTGCAGCTACTTCTCCTCATTTTAAGTTGTGCTGCGGAAAATGAAGGTCCTGGAAGCTTTACTCCATTCATGTCATCATGTTTACCTTTTCTCTGAGGAGTAGGTACAACCCAATTTTATTGTCAATGCCTGCAAACCTGAGGGGCTCATCTTTTGAAACTTTATCTGATAATTTTCTACTGATATTAATAATGTTTTCAACTTTTCGTATTATATCTGACAATGCCCCACTGGTATTCTTAAGGTTTGCAGTAGGTAAATACATTCAGAATGCCTCTCCTTCTTCTTAGTCTGTCTTAGTCTGGACGTTCCGCTGAAACCTGTCCACCATGGGTGACCATGCTGGTATAGCTTCCTGCATGACAGCAACGTGGAAGTTACCACAGTATAACGAACTGACAAATGAGTGGTAGACACTTCCTTGCAAGCATAATCTATTTGGAGAGTTTTTCTCATGCCTGTGCTTGGTATTCACTGGTTCTAACATACTTAGGAAAAGTCTGGTTTTCTACATTTGCCTGCTTATTTTGTATGTAACTAGTGACTATTTGAGAGTATAATTTTAAGTGATATTTTAATAGTGTAAATTACTCATTACTTAGGCTCCATTAGCAATAGAATCAATGCTTAAATCACCTGGTTCACTCTACCTATAAAGTTGTAAAGATGCAAACAAAATTAAATACAAGATTCATTTATAAACTTTTAATATTTACCCTTATAATTAAAAATTTAAAATACATATTAGACATGAAATAATTTACAGTATATATAATTATATTTTATATACTATATATTCCATTACATTTTATATTATTATTGCTAAAATAATCAGTGGATGTCTGCAAGTGAGCATGAGGTTCCAAAATTTGCTTTATTTAAAATCAAAATAAACTTAGAAAGTACAAAAAGTTCACTTTCATATTTGTTATAAATTTATACTTATTAGACAATGATACATGATAATAAATAAGCAACCATGAACACTAGATAACAGTATGTGTGGGAAGCACACATGTTTGAAAACAAGAATTTACTGAGAAGATTATCAATATATATATATTACTATTCCTTTTTTAGCCTTTTCACTTAACTGATTATTCTGAATACTGCAAGACTAGTAATTTAGGGACTTAGTTTTCATGAATAAAGAAGATGTCTTGCATTTATAAAATATTCAATTAGAAATTATCTCCATTTTCATGAAGTGAGAAATGTGCTCTTTGATGTGGGTGACTCAAGAAATCAGTTCATTAAAAAGAAAATTGATTATATTTTCCCACAGCTATCCCTCTAAATCAGGAATCTGAAAAGATGCTAATGTAATGAACATGTTCACAATTGCATTTGCATCCTTTAATTGAGTTTTCAAGTCAGAATAGATGTTAGCAATCATAGTAGAGATAAATAATAATAATCTAATATTCAGATTAAATAACTTGATTTTGTAACATAATATTTGCTATTTGCATTAAGGAGTGATATATAAAAAGAGTTTTTGACCTAAATCCTAAATCCTAAATTCTTCTTCTTTTTCTTTTTCTGACTCACTGAAGTGGCAAATGATTTTAAATTGACAGACCTTAAAACAGACTCTCTCCATGCATACATTACTCCCTAGGAGAAAGTTAGGCTATATGAAAACTGATTAACACTTGAGTGCCATTTAGCACATTTAGTTCCCTGCAACTAGAACGTTTGACTCGTTATGTCTCTGTTAATTTTAATAATGGTAACATTCTGTTTTAATCAACTCAAACTGCATAAAACGTCATCATAAATAAATAAATATATCATATTTTTCTATTGGGAGTTTTCTACTAAAACTAATATTAAGAATAATCATGTGCATAAAAAGGAAAAAAATAGCAATGCATAACTAAGCTTTTTATAGAAATAAAGTTAAACTGGGGTTGAATCCCTCTATTGCTATTCCATTTAGTTTGAGGATCCTAAAACAAATGTACTTTATTTGAAAAGAATATGAAAACCTGGGCAAAAGATAAGAACTGTGATTATCCATTTCTATGATGGTTATAAGAACTTGGTGGTGGTGATGGTAGCTGTGTGCCGTGAAGTCAGTGTTTAGACTGTAGTGCTTATACTGTGCTGTCACCTTGCTCCCAGCTCATGATTATAAACATATCGACAAATGGCATAGTGATAGTAATTAATGTGGTCAAGAGTAACTAATACATAATTAACTTAAAATGATTTCCTCATAGATACACAGGTAAATTTTAAGCATAAAATGATTTTTCAGAGATTACATTGTAATACAGAACCTTCTCTAAAGCAATTAGAGTGCAACAAAATAAAATACAGATAGGTTTGAGAGAATAAAGGAAGTAGAGAACTGAGAGTTCCTCTGCCTCATAAATGTTTATAATTCAGAAGTATAATTATTAGGACAAAAATTCAGAAAATACTTAATGACTCTGGAAATGAATTGGGATTTATTTTCAAAAGAATTTTTCAAACTGATACATAATTATAAAAAAGAGATCTACAAAATCTCCTGGGTGTTGTAAAATGCCATTGAATCATTTCCAACTCATAGTGACCCTGTATAGTATTTGAGTTCACAGTGCAATTTTGATCCTAGAGTGTCACACCTGGATAAGATATTTAAAATAATTGAAGACAAGATTTTTCAGAAAATCTTTGCCATAGCTGTCTTACATGCTATTTATACAGTTTGCAACAAATTATTGTTGTTGTTGTTGTTAAGTGCCGTCGAGTTGGTGCTGACCCATAGTGACCCTGTATAGTGTTTCCAAGGAGTGGCTGGTGAGCTTGAACTGTTACCTTCATAAATTGCCAGATCATTTGATGTATTTATTTATTGTAACCAAAATCAAATAAATATAATATTATGAAAAGCATAACATTTATTTGTAAATGTACATGTAAAATGTTATCTTTTGTAGGCAGAACATGTATTATAAATATTTTGACATATTTTCAGAATATTTATTCCACATTCTAATTTCATGTTAAATTTAAATTTTGTGTTATACTGGAAATTGACTAAATACATTTATGGTTTTATTGTTTTTCTATTACTTAGGGTCTGCCAGGCCCACCTGGTGAAAAAGGTGAAAATGGGGATGTCGGACCTATGGTAAGATTTTATTTTCCAGTGTTTGATGGCTAGTATCCATTTCCATATTACTGATATCTTTCTTGAGGTTTATTAATATAAATAAAGTAGTCCTAATGGCTATGACACTTTCCTAATTAAAACCCTACCTTCTTCCCAACCACCACCTATAATTATTGATGTCTCTCCCATTACCTGACTATATGCATTGTGTGGCATGAAGTTGAAATGTAAACAGTTATGCATGGGCGATCATTGAAAAGTAAGATAATTTTCTGATAAAGACAAAGATAAAATTTGAGCATAATATGATCTGTCTGACCTTATATCAAATCCCAGATCATCTTTTCTCTTTCTCACAGTGGACTTATTACATGCACAGCTTCCATTAGTTTGTCTATTGTTTCTCATTTCCTTGTCGATACCTTAGTGAGGTATACATAATCAATTCCCACACGTTAGTTATTTCTTAGTGTTTATCTCCAGACTCTGATGTAGAGTAGGTAAGGAATAAATACTAGTCACCCAGTGTTTAGATAATTAGAAAATGTTGTAACAGACTTTAAAAATTAACTGTTATATTTTGAAATGCATTCGTAATTTAATTAGGAATTCTGTCTTAATTAGAATGCTACAACATCTATGACTTATAATTATTTCTACTTATTGATTTGGCTTTCTGCTCTAATGGTAAGACTAATAACTGAGCTGAAAATTGAAATACATATATTTGTTTATTAAGCACTACCTTTGATAAGGAAACAATTAGGCAAGGTAATTGCAATCTATACTGAAATGAATGAACACATTTTCTAATTACTCTTTTTACTTCCTTCAAAATGCATATTGAGATTTTTTTTTTTTTAATTTCCATGGTAGATTTCATTTTCTTCAAGGACTATATTCACATCTATTGATTCTTTGAAGTGATTCTTCCTTCCAAACAATAGATACATGCCAACCTCCTATCTTGATATGATTTCTATGGATTCCTGCACCACTTAGACATTCTCTCTGACTATATGATAGTAACTACTAGTAGAGAAGGTTTCTAACCATGACATCAAAATAGAATAAAGTGTTACTTTTAAAGAGTACTAACACTCTGGTATTATCCAACCACTAGTTTTAGTCAAAACGTTGAGGAAAATGTATCCCCAAATAAGTTCAATGTAGTCAGGTGAGGAAGGAATCCTAAATAGCTTATAATATGTCACTATCTGGTACATAGAACATGTAGTTGACCCTAATAACAAAACTACAAGTTAAATTTTAAAAACACTTTAATTTAGTTAATTATTTTTACATTTACTCAAGCACCGTTTGTTATTTCAACTTAATTTGCTTTATTGTTGTTGTTGTTAGGTGCCATCGAGTCAGTACCGACTTATAGCGACCTTATGCACAGCAGAATGAAACACTGCCCGATTCTGCCTTTCTTGTTGTATTATGAGTACATTGTTCCACAGAGTCATAATAGACTGTGTTGGCCCCTTTTCAAATCAAAAGTAGTTCAGTTCCCAGTTGCTTGTTATTACGTGCCATATAGTGTCCAAAGAAGCAGCTGGTGTATTTGAACTGCTGACCTTGTCCAGTGCTTATCCTACAGCACCACAAAAGTTCCCTGTAACAATGTGTAAAGGGTCATTTGCTAACATGATGTTATATTCATCAAGAATGACTATGATTTTGCAGGATTAAACTTGTTTTAGTCAACAACAACAACAACAAGCACAGAAGGAAAATGTTGCAAATGTATTAGAGTGTCATCATCATAAACCTTATTATTTGTGTTTTACAGGGTCCACCTGGCCCTCCAGGCCCAAGAGGTCCTCAGGGTCCCAATGGAGCTGATGTAAGAGCTTTGAAATAGTCTTCAATTATTTAAAAGTTATATAGACCATAGTATTGTTTATTAGTAAAAGATGTCTGAGATACAATGGGCATGATCAGTCTGTTTCAGGCATCTTATGATTGCTAAATACAAGAGGACTTCAATCAATTCATGGGAAAATTGAATTAAAATATAATGGAATTTTTCCATGAATGTTTTGAAACCCCTCGTAGCTATGCTTACTTCCAATTCAAGCACATGGAAAATGACACTTGATCCTTCTTCCTACTGTGAACTTTATATAGAATAAGTTATCACGAATATAAAATAAACAGTTCATATATAATATATATTTATTGATGAGTGAGGAATATAAGCTTTATTAGAGTTAACTACCTTGTTCAGGTCAGTATGCTTACTCTTTGCTTTGTATACATATAATTTTTGATGGTTACTGAATTGTTTTAATTTAAACTATAACTCTGACAATTGCATGACAAAATAGTTTGTAGTTGATTTTCACTATATTAACTAGGTCTGTACTCCAAATAGCCTTTATGAATCGATCTGCTCTTTGTGACATTTAGTTTAAAGCTACATATACCTCTTATAATGTATAGCTATAACATACTTTAGAATAAAATGTTGATGGTAAGCACAACTTTTACAATGCTAAATTTTCCCTTCAACTGTGTACAGATTATTATTCTCAAATGTAAAGATGGACTTAATTGTTCTAATATAGAATTTTAAAATGCGGTGCCATGTTTTTATTACTGTTGCTCTTAATGAACACATAGGTTCTGATGATATGTCTCCTTCCTATTCACCATGATGAAGCCTAAATTCCCCTCATGCTTCAGGCTCTTCCCTGTTACTTTTTGTTATGATTTTTATTGACTCTTAACAGAGCAGAATTGGATAAATGAACTACAAGAGATGACCAAAAGGAGCTTCTAGCTTTCAATTCCTCTGGATGAATTTAAATACTGAGATATGGAATATGTTGGGTTTTCTTGCACAGATTATATAATTCTTGTTGTTAAATGCTGTTGAGTCAATTCTGACTCTTAGTGACCCTTTCTTTATAGGGCTCCCAAGGAGTAGCTGGTGGGTTTGAACTACCGATCATGTGATCCGCATCCCAGTGCTGGTCTTACAATACCACACTAGAAGTCACATACATGTATATGTAATTCGTAAAGCCATATTTTCAGTCTACTACAAAATCTGTAAAATCACCTTCTAAAACATATCTGACTATTCCATGTGAAAAGAGACTGAAATTATATCCCATAGTACACAGAGTTGGAAAGCCTCCACTTGCATTTTTTGAATTCTGAAATTAATGTAATAACAAATTGTATGATACAAAATGAATTTGACAACTCATTTTTTAAAACACTATTTTTCCCATCTTTAAAATGATTTAGAATATTCTTGCATTTATTATTCACTCTGAAAAAAATAGATACATATTTTTGAAGTATCATTTGTTATAACAATAAGGATAACAACTATTCTTTTTCCTAAACCATAGGGACCACAAGGACCTTCAGGATCCATTGGTTCAGTTGGTGGTGTTGGAGAAAAGGTGAGGAACTTAGTGATAAAATCTGCTAACATTTTCATTAACATTAGTGCTTCTAATATTGCTGTCTTTCTAAGCATTTTACAAAACCATATGTTAACACATAGAGAACAGTGAATATGAGTTATGTGCTCATTGGCTGTAGTTACAGAAATAAAAGTTAAAATGAGTTTGGGATACCATGTTTTTGATTGCTAGCTAGTGATGCTGTATGATGAAATAAATTATGGTGGGATATGAATTATCTTCATTAGTCAATCACAATTGCAAATTATTCATCATCATTATTATTAGTCACATTTTTAACTGGAGAAGTTGCATTTCAGAAAACCCAGTAATTTCATCAGAATACTGTCATGTGACTAAGTGAGAATGTACTTTACCCCATGTATATCTTACTTGACTATAGTGTCTCTAATAAGGCTCATTCCTGAAAATAAAAAAAAATTGATACATCAGTAACTGACTTAAACAGGAAAATGAAAACTTTTAAATCACAAAATAGTTTACCATTCATTTTGGCATATTTTGAGTGACTTTTTCAGAACTAATTATATGATATGTCTGTGGCATTTCAAATTAGTTGGCATGTGCCATAACATCTTGGGCCAGAACAGCTTCTTTTTCTTGTGAAAATGATTTCATTTTAAAAAAATCAGTTGTTCCTTTTGTGGAAACATCAGAATGATTCTATGATATTTATGCATTCATGTTCACTTCTTTATAGAAGTTTCAAGAGAATCATCCTACACTTAATATCTTTAAAAAAAAAATAATTATACCAGTTCTAAAGAAGAATTAAACTTCATACCATAAATATAAGGCAATTAAATGTTGGTTAAAATTCCCTAGATATTAAATTATATCAGAGAGTTATTGTTTTAAGGTGAAATTGAGTAGATTTCTACTTATGGTGACCCTGTGAGTGCAGAGTACAAGTTCTCCAGTGGGTAGTTAAAGCTGCTTCCTTTCAGAAGCAGATAACCTAGCCTGTCTTCCTAGGTACCTCTGGGTGGGATCAAACCACCAATCTTTCAACTAGTAATCACCAAAGGATAGAATTACCCTAATCTTGACACTAATTCTTGGGTTTCTTAGAAATATTTGTAATATATTAATCTTGCACTTAAATCCTTGTAATTTAAATAAAGGATTTAATTGTCACTACAATAAACATCTAGAAGATAGCATTTTATGTTTACTTTTGCTCAACACCCATTCCAGCATTTTTATTATAACAACAATATAATAAGCTATTTAAAATACTGATCCATTGTTAAATGAGAAATATTTTAAAGTTATTATCTATTTCTTGCTTCCTAAATAGTTTCATCTATTATATATATATATAATGTTGTTGCTGTTCCAAAATGCTGTCGAGTCAGTTCCAACTCATAGTAACCCTGTATAGGGCTTCTGATGAGCAGCTAGTAGATTAGAACTGCCAATCTTGTGGTCAGCAGTTCAGTACTTATCCTACAATGCCATACCAGGCCTTTATTGCATGAATATATTTTATATTCTGAACCTTGAAAGTATGTGTTGAAATGGTGTTGGTGGATTTTGTGTAAAATTGAAAGAATATTTCTCATTGAGTTCAATTGACTTACAATGATGAACAAAAGATGACTGCCCCTGATGAGATCACAGTAGAAAAGAGCTTCAAAAAGTTTCTGGAAAAATTACATTTAAGCATAATATAATTTTTCCACAAATTTTTGAATTCTCTCATATTAGACAGATGATATCAGCTTTACAACTTTTCTTCTTCCCTTTTTACCATCTGCATTTGGATCTAATGTTGAAATGAGAGTACTGAGACTTGTTCTCACGTTTCACTTTTATCCACGTAGGAAATTCCAAAATTTATTAGTTTTGGCACTTTAACTTACTTATTTCTTAAAGCGTTAGGGTGCGCAGAGAACAGTTAAATACCTAAGTTGCTTCATATAAACTTTTGTCTTCCATGTTGCTCTTGAAGTAAACATCATTGCCAGATGTTAGAATTTCAGAAAAATTCCCTCTCTGCACTGTTTGCATTCAGTTTAAAGGATTTTTCGTCACACTTTGCCAGGTTTCAGTATTTTCTGTGGATGATTCAGTCAAGCAGGATTGATGACTTGTTATCTCTTACATTTAAAAGGCACGTGATCCCAAATGTATCACACTAAAAAAAACCCATAATTTTTCATTTGCTCCATTTTATTTTGGCATCTACTATGTGACAGAAAGCAAGAAAAATATGAAGTTTTAAGTTTAAGTTTTTCTTTAGAATATGGGGTAATATTATAATTTGCTATAGTATATAAATTTTTGACATCCGCAAACCTTTATGTTAGAAAATGTTTTTTTTTCAGTCACAAATTCAATAAATTTACAAACAAAAAACACACTAACATGTTGCATTTGGCTTAAATATGTTTGACCTGTTTTCATTCTAAAGGATATTTCCTATAGATTTTCTTTTAATTTGGGGCATAGAAAATCACTTTTTGTCACTGCTGAAGAGAACTTCAACCTAACCAAGTGTCTCGTTGTTATTTAATCATCAGTCTTTTGGGAGGAGACAATGTGTCAGGCTGCTTCTGTTCAGGTTTACAGCATTGGAAGTCCTAAGAAGTTCTAATCAGTATAAGGCTGCTCTTGAGTCAGAATTGTCTCAATGATAATGTGTCTGGTTTAGTTTGGGTTTGGATTAGTTAACATTTATACCATTTGTAATAAACACCGGTATTTTAAGAAAAGTGGTTTTGTGATCTAATATGTTGTTGTTAACTGTCGTCATGTAGATTCTGACTCATAGCAACCCTGTATAGAGTTTCCAAGGAGTAGTTGATGAGTTTAAACTGCCAGCCTTGTGGTCCAGTGCCACACCTTATCCCAAAGAGCCACACCAGGACTCCATGTCATCTAATACAGGGGTTGTCAAACTATGTTCTGTGGGCGAAATTCAGTCCACCACCTGTTTTTGTACTGCCAAGAAGCTGAGAATGATGTTTACATTTTTAAATGGTTGAGAGGAGAGGAATAATATTAATTCAAGATGTGAACATTAAATGAAATTCAGATTTCAGTGTCCATAAATGAAATTTTGTTGGAACCATGCTCATTCATGTACATATTATTGATGGATTAAAGGCAGAGATAAGTTGCTGTGACAGAGATCATGTGGTTTACAATGCCTAAAACATTTACTGCCTGGTCCTTTAGAGAAAAAGTTTCTGGACCCTCCCCCCCCCCTTCTAATATCACTAATTATTGATTTCTTTTCACTTCACCTGTTGGTGGACTCTTAATCTTTGTGAGACTTTTGTAAGTGGCATGAATTGCAGACTTCTGTGTGTCTCATGTCACAGTATAAATGAGCAATGATCATGATCGTAGAGCAGTGCCAAGTTTGATCATCAGATGCCTTATTTCCACAGGATAGTAGAAGGGTCAAAAGCTGCTTTCTGGAGGAGTTTATGAAGCAACAATAATTATAACCATGAACTAAAAAGTTATACCTCAGTGTGGGCTTTATAACATTTTTCTATAGTGTGTTAGGCTGAAAAATTATCAGCTATTAACCCAATTTACATCTGAAAAATTGTCTATCATTGCATATGACTTTTGACATCACTATTTTCAGAAGCCTTTAGTATTATTACATGTATGAGAAACTCTTTGGCATCTAGAAATTACTAAATTTACTGTCATGAAATTATAATTGATAATAAGGAGTTTGGGAGTCTCAGTCAGACTAATCTTTCATTAAATTAGAGTAGCACACATTTTGTCATTTGGGAGACTTAATATTTTCACTTGGAAGTCTGGTGGGGCTGGAGGATAAGTATTGGACTGCTAACCACAAGGTCAGCAGTTCAAATCCACCAAAATCTATGAGAGAAAGATGAGGTTTTTATGCTCATGTAAAGAGTTATAGCCTCTAACACCCTATGTAGGGTGGCTATAAATCAGAACCAACTTGATGGTACTTAACAATAACATGGATTAAAATATATCCCCCAAAATATGTCTTGTAAATCCTATCCTCTATACCTATGGTTTTGGAGTCCTGGTGCAGCACTGTGGAATAAAGCACTGGACCACAAAGTATGATTGGACCACAGGTTGGTTGTTCAAATTCACCAGATACTCCTTGAAAACCCTATACAGGGCTACTAGGAGTTGGAACCAACTGGGCAGCACTCAACAACAACATACCTGTGGTTATAATCCCACTGGGAATCAGTTCTCTTCGTTATGTTAAAGAGAATTTTGTATATTTGATTCAGTAACTCCTGAGATATAAAGAGAGATTAAACAAATGAGCAAAAGAGAGATGGATTAAGACAGGCTCTAAGAGATGTGGAAATCTCCAAGGAACCAGGAACAAAAGCTGAAGAGACAAGGTCTTTCTTCCATAGCCATCAGAAAGAGAAAAACTTTTTCTAGAGCAAGTTCTCTGAATCCAAACTTCTAGCCTCCTCAACTGTGAGAAAATAAATTTCTGTTTGCCAAATCATCTGCTTGTGATATTTCCTTTATAGCAGCACTAGATAACCAAGGCAAGGAGGAAATATATGATCAAGAAATAATTGTACTGAAAAAAGTCCAAACTAAACTGAGGGCATTGGGAGAAAACATAATTCCAGGAATGGATAAAATACTAATTGCATTGTTTCAACAAATACAGACTCTCATATGTCTATGCCAAGAAGTTTGGAAGATCTCTAACAACAAAAGAGATCCATGTGCATGCTTATTCCAAAGAAAGGAGATCCAACAGAATGTAAAAACTGTCAAATAATGTCATTAATATAAAATTCAATTTTGCTGAAGATAATTAAAAAAAAAAAAAAAAACTGCAGTAGTACCTCAACGGGGAGATTCAAGCCAGATTCAGAAAAATATGTGAAACAAGATATATCATTGCTGATATCAGATGAATTTGACAGAAATCAGAGAATACCAGAAGGATATTTATTTGTGTTTTATTAACTATGCAAAGACATTTGACCATGTGGATTATATTGCATCATTGATAACATTGTAAGAATGGGAATTCCAGACATTTAATTATGCTCATGTGGAAACTGAACATAGACCAAGAAAAGAAGATCTACTGTGTAGTTAAAATCAGGAATGTTGTATGTCAGGGTTGTGTTCTTTCACCATGCTTGCTCAATCTGTATTCTGAATAAATAATGTATGAATACAGTGTCATAATTATAAGAAGTGCCATTAACAACATGGGATACACAGATGACAAAGCCTTGCTTGCTGAGAGTGAAGACTTCACTTCACTTACTGATGAAGATCAAAGACTACAATACTTCTATGAATTACAGTTTAGCATAAAGAAAACAAAAATCCTCACCGTTGGACCAATACGCAACATCATTACAAATAAAAAAAGATTGATGTTGTCAAGAATTTCATTTTACTTGGACCCACAATCAAAACCCGCTGAAATCAGCAGTGGAAAAAAAAATCTAAGGACATATCTGCTACAAAATACTTCTTTAAAGTGTTCAAAAACAAAGATGTAACATTTGAGGACTAAGGTTCACCTGATCCAAGTCATGGTTTTTTCAGTTGCCCATATTGTCGTTAAGTTGTTGAGTGCTGTCTAGTCAGTTCCAACTTATAGCGACCCTGTATAAGTTTTCCGAGGAGCAGCAGGTGGGTTTGAACTTCTGACCTTGTGTTTTGCAATCCAGTACTGATCCTACAGTGCCACACCAGGAGCCAGCGAAAAAGGAAGACCAAGTGAAAATTGATTCCTTTGAATTATGGTGTTTGCAAAGAATATTGAATAAGCCATGAACTACCAAAAGAATGAACAAATGTATCTTAGAGAAGTACAACCACAGTACTTCCTATAAGAGAAGATGACAACACTTCATCTCACATACTTTGGATGAGGTATCAGAAGAGACCAGTCCCTCATGCTTGGTAAAATAGAGTAAGAGGAAAAGAGGAAGATCATCGAGGAGATGAATTGACACAGTAGCTGCAACAATGGACTCAAACCGCAATGTTTGTGAAGGTGGCACAGGATAGGTAGTGTCTCTGTCGTACATAGGGTCACTGTGAGTCCAAACTGATTCAATTTCACCTAACAATAACAACAAAGGTAACCTGGGTTAATGCACTTGATTGTTAACTATCCATGTTGTCCAATTCTGTATATGTACCTAAGAAATAAAAGTATCAATCTCAGTAACACATTAGGTTCCTTTCTCAAAGTTTCCCAATACCCATTAGTCAATACACTAAATTAAGGAATAGTCTAAAATGTCCTGGTTATAATTGAAGGCAGTTTTACAAATGTAAAGTGTCATTTCTGTGTTCCAATACTCATTTGATCTTTTCTTTATAGGGTGAACCTGGAGAAGCAGGAAACCCAGGGCCTCCAGGTGAAGCAGGCTCAGGTGTAAGTAGAGTCATATTTTAATACAGAATGCAGTTTGTTCAAGAAAAATTTTAAACCATTTTAAGCAAGTAACTCATACTTGCAGTTCAATTATTTGCTTTCCCTTTCTAACTCATTAAGAATAATCACAAATGTGGCATTTCTTAATAAAGTTACATACCCTCTGCATATTTTGATTCATATGCAAATTGAAACAAACTTATATGAGTGAGAGCATTAAAATTGTTTATTGTATACATTCTTTTTTAGTGGACTGATCATAAAAAATTCAATAAACCAACCAACAAACAAAATCCTACTGCATTATATAAACATTTAAGTATTAAAGTTGTATCATTTTAACCTTGATTGGTTATGCCAAGATTTTTTAATTCACTTCCAAAAACCATTTGGCAATGCCTGGAAACATTTTTTGTTTGGCACACTGGCAGATGGGTGGTGGTGAAAACAGGAAGTAGAAAGCTGCTGCTGGCATTCAGTTGGTAGAATCCAGAATGCTACTCATTATCTTAAAATTCACAGGGTAACCACTCACAGCAGAGTCCAAATACCAAGAGTGTGAGGTTGATTTAAAGTTTGTCAGATAATTATTCACTTTCTTATACTGTGTAGGGCCCCAAAGGAGAAAGAGGGGAGAAAGGAGAAGCTGGTCCTCCTGGTGCTGCTGGACCTCCTGGTGCTAAGGGACCACCAGGTGATGATGGTCCGAAGGGTAACCCGGTAAGAGAGCTTGGTGACCTTTAAGGTGGCATTTATACCAATCTTACTTTGGAACTTTTTATATAAACTTTAGACATGCTGGGACACTTGTCCAAAGCTGGTGAAACTAAAATGCCATACTTGTTATATGATCATAAGCATACTCAATTTATTTCAGTTTTCAGTTTTTCTGGCATGATAAGAGAGTTGGTCTCCTACGGTTTTGGTATTATTTTTACCTCTTAAACTTCACTATATCCTAACTTTAAATATTAATGTTGTATTTATTTTTCTTTACCAAAAACAAAACAATCATTCTAGGGTCCTGTAGGTTTTCCTGGAGATCCTGGCCCACCTGGGGAACCTGGCCCTGGGGTAAGTATTATGGAAAAATAAGGGAATTTTTTGGAGATGTTCTCACTGCCTTCATTGTCAATAATTAGAGAAAATTATTAATTATAAGTAGATTCTCAAGATTAGATTACTCTCTTCATTTTTATTCATTTTCCAAACTTTGTAGAGTTGTACAAACACAAATTATTTACAAAGCAGGATCATTGTTATTTCAAAGTTACAAGCTCTTTGTTGTTTTCTCAGTCTCTCATATGATGCAACATCTTATATGATGTAACATTTCTGATTAGGGTGGAAGTGTTGCTTTGCATTCTCATTACATATCCCTACTTTTCAAAAAATAATCAAAAGCATAAAATAAGTTTTTGTTACTGTAACAATACGGCAAATTGCATGGAGAGACTGAGAGGAACCACCATCCTAAAAAAGAATAAGAAAAGTACCATAATGTGACTTGGCTATCTGATAGATCATTTATATTAAGAAAACAGAGATCATCTTATTTTTTTCTCATCAATGTTAATTATTAGTGACAGATATCTGGATTCATTTTCTATTGCCCTTTACAGGGTCAAGATGGTGTAGGTGGTGACAAGGGTGAAGATGGAGATCCTGGCCAACCAGTAAGTAAACATAGCCACTATTTCTATATATTCTTTACATAGTCTCAGTTATGTTAAAGAATTATTTTAAGCAATTAGCCTTTCAAAAACACATATTTTGGAAAAGATTATCAACAAAATTTGACTTACACTTGTGAGTCAATTTTATAGTGAGTGCTTCTTACTCTGTGCAGATTAAAAAAAAAAAATTATAAGCAAATCCTTCATGATGAAAAATGTACTCATAGTATACCAATGAATTTCTCATACTATATCAATCTCAGTTAATTATCCATTAGTGTTAAATGAAAATTATCTTAGAAACATATGTAAGGAGGAAAGTCAAGTTTTAGCCTACCCCCATATTACTATGAAATACTTCAATAATTTTCAGAAATGAATTCAACATAATGTATGACGTTTTTAGGGGACAGAGGGAGATGACACAGTAGAGTGCTTTGCCTGCATGTGGGTATTTAGGAAGGAAGGGAGAAAAACACCAGCAACTTAAGTAGAAGCCAAATATAATTTTCATCTATAACAACTTTGGAGTTCTAGTGTGGCACTGTAGGATAAACATTGGATTGCTAACCGCAAGATCCGCAGTTCAAACCTACCAACCCCTCCTATACATGGTTGCTATGAGTCATAACTGAACCAATGGTTTTTAACAACAACAACAACATAATAGCTTAGTCTCTAGAGCCAACCACACTGCATAAATGCAGTCAAATCGATGTGAGTAAATGTTGGGTGCACTCGCATAAAGATGTTAAATGTTGCACAATGAAATATTGAAGTAATAGTTATATGTTTTTACAAAATTATGTGGTGTTAGTCAAATTATTAACTACATGATTCTATTGATATGTTTCTTAGGCATTGTACTTTTAAAAGAAACAGTTTTATGACATTGAATGAATTTGTTTCATTGTCTTTTAGCTATGCCATTTTCCATATAAATTTTCCAATCTCTAAGTATGGATTTCTAGAATAAATTTAAGTATCTAAAGTGGGGCTTGATAATTAACTTGCCATGAAAGATAGACATGGGGAAATAGAGAAAGAAGGTTGAATTCAGTTCAGATTTTGAAAAGTGCTGTGGGCCATAAAATTGCACCCAGTTAATTAAAAGTTATGTTTCTCTTGTTATAGGGTCCCCCTGGTCCATCTGGTGAGGCTGGTCCACCAGGTCCTCCTGGGAAAAGAGTAAGTTTCTTCGGTTCTTTATTTAAAACTTGCTATCTGTTATATACATAATTTTATAGAATATATCTAACTTGTAAACGGTATAAAAATTCCAGAAACATAAGCCCTGAAGGATAATTTCTTAAAAGTGTCAAGATACACTAAAATAGGACATATTATAACTATTTCACTATCACAGTAAATATAAGAAAAACAATTCTTAACTACAGAGTTTTACACTTCTTTTTGCTTGTGTCTCTTCTCTGTGCAAATGCTGATACATTTGCACAGAGTCTAATGGTATCATGAACTTAAACTCAAGGTGCATTATAGAGGACTTTTGGGGTGTTTTATACTGGTCTTAGTGTGGCACTGTAGAATAAATACTGCAGGCCATTTTGAACTGCAAGATTGATAGTTCAAACCCACCAGCCACTCCTCTCAGCCCCTATAATGGGTCACTATGAGTCGGCAACAACTTGACAGCACTTAACAACAAACAACAACAACCTCGGTGGTACAGACAGGTAAGTGCTTGGTCACTAAACAAAAGTTTGGAGGTTTGAAACTACATAGTGATGTCTCATAGGAAAGGACTGGTGAAAACTTTCAAGCCGAGTTCTGATACACATGGGGTTGCCATGGGCAGGATTGATTTGATATCAACTAGTTTTTGCTTTTTTGCTGTTGTTGATTCTTAACTGGAGATGTCAAAAGTCCAGTGCTACATTGCAACATTAAAAATAACCTAAATGCAGCATTGGTAGAATGAGTTCAGGAAGAAGTACATTATTTTAGACTGATTTACATTGTCAAACTTCTCTGACTTAGAAAACCTTGGCACAATTTTAACAGAGAGCTCTGGTAACATAGTGGTTACAAGTTGGGCTGCAACCCTAAGGTCAGCAGATTGAAACTACCAGTTGTTCTGCAGGAGAAAGATGAGGCTTTCTACTCCTGTAAAAATGTCTAGCCTCAGAAACCCTATGCAGGATTGCTATGAGTCAGAACCGACTCCATGGCACACCACCACCACCATACAGTAAACTGGACTTCTAATATGGCATTGTGGAGAAGCACTGGACTTTGAACCACAAGGTCAGCCGTTCAAACCCACCAGATGCTCCTTGGATGTTGTTAAGTGCAGTCAAGTCAGTTCCAACTCATAGCGACCCTGTTTATAGTTTCTGAGGAACCGCTGGTGCGTTTGAAAGGCCGACCTTGTGGTTTGAAGTCCAGTGCTGATCCTATAGTGCCACACCAGGATAGGATTTTTTCACACATTAACTGCAATATACTCTAATACATTTATTTTACTCTTTTACTATTGTACTGTTGGGGAGTTTGGTGTTTCTGTAGGATAAGCATAACCTCAAGAGAAAGATGAGGTTTTCTGCTCTTACAAAGACTTAAGGCCTCAGCAACACAATATAGAGTTGGTAAGAGTTGGAATCAACTTGAAAATACTTAACAACAACAACAACGATTAGACAGCTGTACTATTTTAGTTAAAAAAACAACAACAGCAAAACTCAATTTACAGTTTTCTCTGATATATCTTATATTTTACAACCTATCCATGAACAAAATGTGTGGTAAGCATCACCATGTATTTCTTATGTTGATTCTTTCTTCAATAACCCAAAGGCAGAAAGCAATTGGGGTCCATGTTGTTTTCCAATGGCAACCTTTATTTAGAGGTATTTTTTTGATACTAAAAATCCTCAGATTAAATACAGGGTATCAATGGGATTTAATATTTTTATCTCAGCAATGTACATTTGAGTCAGTATTTCCCAACAATTATTTTCCTCACCAAAAATTAAAATTTCATTTATAGCATGTATTTTCCATGACATATTTTTTCTTTAATTGACCAAATGTGTTTTAAAAAGTTTAAATTTTGTTTGCAGCCTCTAAACATGGTTTTATTAGAAAAACAAGTTATCCCCAAACCATCATTTAGCAGTTATTCTGAGAATATAATTATAAATGTAACAAATTTTTTTAGATCTGTTGCTTCTTCTTGCCTGCAGTTTGAGTACCTCATAAGTTTCAAGATAAATTGGAACCTCTTCTACTATTTCAGAACTTTTACAGAAATGATTGTATTTTATTATTTAGTGGTATGGACAGAATACCACTCCATATAAAATATCTTTGAGAATGGACTGAAATTCCTATAGAGAAAACATTAAGTTTTTGTATTTTTATTTTTCTTTGTGTTGTTGTTAAGTGCTGTCAAACTGGTTCCAGCCCATAGTGACCCTCTATAAGATTCCTGAGGAGCAATTGGTAGGTTTGAACCACTGATCTTGCAGTCCTAATCAACCTTGTGGTCCAGTGCTTATCTTATAGTGCTACACCAGGATTCCTTATAGTCTATGTCATAACCTATTCATGAACAAAATAGAATGCTATATAATGTGTTAGGGGTCCGGTGTGGCACTGTAGGATGAACACTAGATTCCTAACCACATGGTCTGTGGTTCTAACCCATCAATCACTCCTAGGGAATCCGCTGAACATAAGAAAATTCATGTAATACAGAAATAATTATAAATGTTCCCATAATAACTGTTAATGTGTTAGGTTAAGTCATAGAATAAGTTACTAAATATTTATGAGCACAAGGATAAATTATGATGCTTTTAACACAGATGAAATTAAACTTACCTTCAAAGTATGTTGTTGTTATTAAGTGCAGTCGAGTAGGTTCCGACTCATAGGGACACTGTATAATGTTTCCAAGTAGCAGCTCGTAAGCTTGAACCACCAACCTTGAGGTTCAACCTAACCTTGCAACCCAGTGCATTAACCCATAGTAAAAATACGAATTGCCATTAAGGCAGTTCTGACTTATAGTATCACAGCTGAAGTGTTGTTCCAGGAATGATGCTACTGTCCTTTCAAAGAATTAGGGACTCCTGGTTTGGTACTGTAGGATCAGCACTAGACTGTAAATCACAAGGTCGGCAGTTCAAACCACCAGCTGCTCCTTGGAAACCCTATACAAGGTCACTGTGAGTCAGGACTACCTTGATGGCGCTTAACAACAGCACATTTACCCACATAAAAGAAGATAGAAAGATAAGAGGCTTAGGGAAATGAACGTTCGTTTTATTAGCATAGACGTTCTTAAAGAGAAATAAGAACACACATCCACTTTGCCAAGGAAGGGGAGGTAGAGCCTTGAATGTAATTTGACTTCTTTTTTATACCTCACTTTGTCAGAGGAGTGGCTGCTATACATACTGGTTTGAGTGCCCAAGTAGTCAATTCAGGGAGTTTGTCCATATATGATTTCCTTGGGTCTTGTTTTTCAGATTTCAGCTTATAATTTGTTAACTTTATTTATTCTTACAGACAGTCTCCTCTATCCCCAATCCCTTTCCTCAGAAATTCCTCACCAGGATTACTATTAAAACATTGTTGCTGTTGTTGTTAAGTGCCGACATGTCAGTTCTGACCCATAGCAGCCCTGTATAGGGTTTCTGAGGAACGGCTAGTGAGCTTGAATGGACAACTTTACTCTTCAAATCAACTTTGCAGGCCAGTGCATTACCCACAGTGCCACACCAGGACTCCTATTATAGAATGTTGTTGTTGTTAAATGCCATCAAGTCAGTTCCGCTCCATAGCGACTCTGTATAGTGTTTCTGAGGAGCAACTGAGGAGCTTGAACTGGCAACCTTGTGATTCAAACTGACTTTGTAGTCTAACACATTAACCCACAGCACCATACCAGAACTCCTATTAAAGAATAACTGTATAAAAATCCATTTGGAAAAATAATGCTAAAGATTTAAATATTTCTATCTTTATCAAGATTTTTACTTTCTCAACTCATTCTGTTACTCAAGGTATACCCTCATCAAGTGTAATCTAATTTGGTTTTGGTTAAAATAATATTCTAAATATATATCTCTTTTATTGTTATTGATAAATTCAACTAATTGCCATTGGGTATTTGAGATGAAGTCTAATGTAGTTCAAAAGAAAAAAAAAGAAAAAAGAACCCATAGGGGAGAACAAGTATGGAATATGAACCTTTTCTATTAACAATATACTCCAATATTTACATAAATATTTATAATTTTATGAAAAAAACAGCATACTTAAAAATGAGCTAGTATGGGAAAATGAATATAAAAGGGGATTACAAAAAGTTCATGGGAAAATTCCATTTGTATTATTCCATTTTTCGATGAATTTTTGAAATCCCCTTTATATTCATACAAATATTGAATGTAGACACACTGGCACTACTAAAATGTTTAAAACATTTTTTCCATACTTACTAATTTGATAATATGTATCAGTATAATAATGTAAGCGATTTCCCACCTTTTTTGTAATGTGGCACATTACAAGTCTATCTGGCTCATAGCAACCTTATAAGATAGTAGAACTGCCCCATAAGGTTTCCAAACTAAATCTTTACAGAAAGAGCCTACCTCATCTTTCTCCTGTGGAGTTGCTTAGCCCAAAGCTTATACCACTGTGCTACCAAGACTTCTTTGTTATAACATTGTCATTGTTGTTGTTAAGGGTCATTAAGTTAGTTTACTGACCCATAGCCACCCTGTATCGGGTTTCCTGGCAGAAGCTGGTGAATTTGAACTGCCGACCTTGCAGTTTAAACTGACCTTTTGATTGAGTGCTTATCCTACAGTGCCACACCAGAACTCCTCATTATAACATAGGGTTACATTTTTTAAATTCTGTTTTTGAGAAGCTGTACAGCAAAACTATACCAATCCCACAGTTTCCACATGTGGAAATTTAAGTAACATTTATTCCAGTCTTCAGTGCAATGTCACCATCCTTTACTGAGTTGTTCCTCCCTTGTTAAAATCAACTCCCTGCCCCCTAAATTTCCTATCTCATCTTTCAAGTTACTGTTGTCAGTTTATTCCCATAGTATGTGAAGTTGTAAGGGACTGTTGAGTCAGTTCTAACGCATAGCAACCCCATATACCACAAAATGCAACACTGCTTGGTCTTGTACCTTCCTCAAA